CGCTGCTGGTAAAATACAAATTAAAAAACAACTTGTCGGCTAAAATATGATCTTATACAGATATCCTGGTTAAAAAATTATGTGAAAAAGCTTGAATTCTGGAATATACAACTAAGTTGTAAAAACCACAAATCACTGACGATGTCAAAAATAGTGACCGTATGTGCACCAATCACGTGACAATGCTTTGTCCATACCCGCAACACATCTTTGCCAGGGAAGGAGGCCAGTTCACACCTAATACAATAGCCGTTTCCAAACCAGGGATAGAGGGACTGTGACTTGAGTATGATCATTACAGTTGGTACTTCACTTCTTCATAGTGAACATGATTTCACATGTGAAAACCTTCTACCACACCTATATTAGCATGGCGCAAACTATTAAAACTTAATACTATTCTAAAAAGATGTGTAACAATTATGTGGAAAGAAAACATTGAATGTACTAAGAAAAAAATACTGATATGTTTGGAAGAAGATTCCATGCTAAAATTCCAATAACAAAATTAAAGTTATGGTTCCCAGTCTGCGTTCTTGACAATAAACCAATATTTTTAGTAAATAATATGACAGGCTAAGACTCATCATTTAAAAATTTGATGATTGGACAGTTGTAGTGTAAACATGATGGGAATGTTTTTGCATATTTGCATATACCCTGGTATTTTATTATGGTGAAATATGATAATCATGCTGTTGTGGTGAAGACAAAATGTGTAAATTGCATGTTGAAACAGTAAATGGGCGGTGGTCGTCGCACAGCGTATGTACAAATTTCATGTAAACAAATAATATATTTTACAGACGTTGTATACATCGCTATGAGTCCCATATTGCACAGAACGTGACACGGCAACTACAGGCCTTTAAGATGTTAACTGCATTCTGTTTTCTCTCATCTCAATGATCTGAATGAGTTTTTGAATAATTGTATTTATATTCAGTGGTATAGGTCTGGCACTGGCAGAACGGCTCTTGGCAGCAGATCAAAGTATCCATTTATGTCTTGCATGTCGAAATCCCAGTAAAGCCAGAGCTGCAAAGGACGCACTGCTAGTATCTCATCCAGGTTGTACTATTGAGTTATTACAATTAGATGTCAGTGATTTACAATCAGTTTATAATGCAGCTAAAGAAATCAAAAAAAGGTAAATATATCACTACCACAGGAATGGTACTTCCAGCTGATGATTTTTGTGAGCTACGTATATCCCATAATGAAATGGGTCAGGTCACAATGAGTCAGAACAAATATACAATGAATACACAAAATTTGATGAAATTAAATTAATCCTTTTTCTCCCACATTTCCTCCCAAGTCAAACTCACTATGTTAGCTTGATTGCCAGGTCGATTAATGAAAAAACAGGACTGTTTACTGAGTTGTACATGTACTTGGGTATTTCCATTCAACACACATAATTTGATTTGAGTACAAGAGACTACAAATTTGTCAGCTAACTTTGTTTCAAGACTCTTGTGATACATGTTTATTGTCAGCTAACTTAGTATCAAGACTCATGTGATACATGTTTATTGTCAGCTAACTAAGTTTCATGACTCGTGTGATACATGTTTATTGTCAGCTAACTTAGTTTCATGACTCATGTGATACATGTTTATTGTCAGCTAACTTAGTTTCAAAGGACAGCTTTACTTCTCATAAATTGGTTTTGGTTTTTAATCGAATAACTCACCAGATTGCTGATAATTTGACAAAAGCTTTCTATGATTCACTTTTAATGGTTTAATTTCATTAGTTTCTCTATGTTTGCATTGATTCAGATACAGTCATATAGAATATATGTACTTCAACGCAGGAATAATGCCTAATCCGACAGTCAATTGGAAACAATTTTTTAAAGGTTTGTTTTCAACGTGAGTATGCATTACCTGTATTTAATATTATGTCTCCATGAGTTCAAAGGTCAATGAATATATTTATTCTATGCTGCTAAAACCTCATTAAGTCCAGTCAATTTAGTGTAAAATTGTGCCTAATTGGTCACAAATTGCAACAGAATATCTGTTCATGGTAATATGTCACAATTTCTATCTTTCAAAAATGCTAATATTAGAATTTTGTCATTTAGTGCAGTTTTTCTAAAAAAATTATTTCAAAGATCTACCCTAATTAAATTAGTTTATACTATTCTTGTACAAAGAGGAGGAAATACAGTAAAAGGAATAATTCGTAATTATTAAAAAGTAAATAATTATTATAAGTATTAAAAGTTCTTTCAAAGCTTGACTATAGCTTTATCATAACTTGCGTATCACCACACTGTGATGTCACATACTGTGATGTCACATACTGTGATGTCACATACTGTGATGTCACATACTGTGATGTCACATACTGTGATGTCACACACTGTGATGTCACACACTGTGATGTCACACACTGTGATGTCACACACTGTGATGTCACACACTGTGATGTCACACACTGTGATGTCACATACTGTGATGTCACATACTGCCAAAACTTTTTCATTGTGTTCCCTCAGCATCAACTTCTCAGTAAATGTCACAGTCTGGAAATAGTTTGCATAAAAAATGAAATTATCCTTGTTCTAATGTGTTTTCTTTATTTATACAGTCAGATTAAATCACTGTTGTTGGCTAACACCCACTAGCTTTTCAGCCATGTTCGTTTGCTTACTATGCCTGTAATTTTGTTTGGCTTCATAGTATTCGTCAAATCACCTGCCTCCCTTAGAATTTGTGCAAGGCCAGGGCGGACACTCAGACGGCGTACCAGTCTTGGTGTGATTAAATACTAGTAATAATATTTGATGGATTAAAACAAGTTTCTTTCTTAGTTTGTCATCCAGGGAAACAATTTCCAGAAAGACATTTTAAATTATGCAGATTCACGGGCCAGTGACTGTGAAGCTGTGGATTGTTCTGCTTTTTAGTGGCAGAAAATCCACCGGTATTGACAATGCTACAAAGTAATAACAATAATGAACTCCCCACCAACCCATAATGGACTCAAGCACACTTTGTGCTCCATATATGTACTCGGCTCACGCCTCGCACATACATGTCGCACAAAGTGAGATTTCGCTCATTATGGGTTGGCAGGTCATTCATTATTGTTTAAATATACCTTGTTTGTGATGTTTGAAATTTGGCTTGTGCATTACTATCTACTTGCTGTTCACTATACGTCATTTCAAACTGCGTTTTTTGGTGCAGTCGTTGTGGCGCGGTAGGTATCCCTCCTGCCTGCATTGATGAGAAGAACTTGAGTTTGAATCTCATGGTTCGTATTTGTCTGCATTTGCATGTACAATTTATTGATACAAAAAACAAAAGTTGTAAAATTTGGTCTATGCGAACATGACTTGAGCAAGTACTGTACAGTAATACCGTACTAAAAAACTGGCCACCATTGACTGAGATATATGCATTTTTTTTTTCAAAAAACTGGTGACCCTAACTTAAAGCGAGAGGGTTGTCACCTGCACGCATGGGAATTGAGTCCCAAGCAACGATAACAACACACGCTAAAAACGCAAAGGCTCATGGGTAGACGCTTGTTTGTAAACAATGACGCGCTATGGCTATCTGATGCATGCGCAGGTGACGACTCCCATGCTTTAAGTCAACATACTTATAATTCTCTGAAATACAATATACTGCAAAAATAATGAATTCTGGGTATTTTTATTCCTACATTGGCTTCTACTTTGAACTGTTTATTTTGGAATGTGATATAGAGCATAGAAATTATTGTTTGTGCCTAACATGAGACTATACTTTCAGAAATGCTGCTCACATGTTTTCTACTGGAGAGGGACTTCTAATGCAGAAAGACTCAACTACTCAAGATGGCCTCC